CGCCCAGCAATCACATGCATGGACAAGATATAGAATTATGTTAGGAGGAAGGAACGAAAGCTTTCACAACACACAGTAAGCTACTTTTTGAAGAGTACTACCAACGAATGTAAAAAATCAGTTTGGTGGGACTATGGAATTATGTCATCCTTGAGTAACTCCAAAACTACTAATCATGTTGATGACTGTAGTCCTTCCAGAAATTCTGAATTATTGAAAAGGTGACTCTGATTATCAACAATTTTATGCACAATTTTGCTGAGGATTACGATTAACTTCAAAGGAAAGATTTCTTGCATGTTAGTTTTACACTGTTTGCTAATTCTAGAGTACTTCTTATGCGTCTCCCATTACCGAAATAAGAAAATAATATACATGGGAAATTCACATTTAATTACGTTTCGGTATTACGTTACACATCTGGAGACCTATTCACAACTCGTATTTCAACCCCTACCGCAACTCTGACTATTTAATTCCAAGTACGTTCGCGGTAACCATTAAGTCACAAACCAGCAAACAGCGTATAGGTCTTCTTTTCATCACAGGCGCTGTACTCTGAAATCCGATCTAATATAAACCTAACCTATCCACCTTGACTCTGTCTCCTCCCTTGTCTTCACTTCCTAGCACAATTTTCTCAATCTCTCACTTTATCACCATTGCCAACGATTAAGACCATCGAAAAACCATTCCTAGTCTCCTAGGACCCCAACTACCAGTTTCATATTGGAGGTTTCAGAGTCCGAGCTCCATGCCGAAATTCTAGAGTGTGGTTATTAAATTAACCTTATCTGACCATTGGAGTGAATCTTGGAAATTCACCATACGAGTATCAGAAAACCCGATCCATTGCTCTCATGAACTCGCTAGCATAGACACAGCATTGAGTTCCAGAGCACAAAGAGGACTTCTCGACTGGATGGATCTGTAAAAACTAGGAATGGTTATGAGACTAGCCGATGACTATTCATTATCACCGCTTGCTCACCCACCGACCGTAATTCGGGTGATGCAAAGGATGAGTTCTATCAGAAGTTGCCGATTTTGCTACGGAAATCAAAACGTTCAGATATAGTCGTAACTGGAGGTGACTTTTACGCTGAAATAGAAAAGCTGAGTCGATCGGAAAGGCATCTCGGAGGTATCTATGGAATCCCATGCCAATGAACCAACAACGGTGATCGTCTCTTGGAACTTCGTTCTGAGAATCACCTGGTTTTAACTAGGAATATATTGAAATGTAAGGAGAGACACCCTCTGAGATGGTGTGTAGCCAAATCAAACCAACGATGGACAGAAATAGATCATATGCTATAAGGCATCGTTGGAGAGGATCGATGGAGGACTGTCATTCTTTGTGGAGAGTATATGTTTGGACTCCGATCGCTTGTTGGTAAGTGCACGGGTATGCCTGCGTCTTTCTGGTAGCATAAAACAGGCAGTAATGAAAGCTGTATGTGCTACATTGGAAGATGAGTATGTGAAGCATGGATATAGGATGGAGATATTTAAGCACGTGAAAGTGACAGCAATGTTTATCCTGAGGAAACCGCTGTGGAAACAGCGGTAAAGACAGTTGATAACCTACATCCAAATGTCAGCAAACACCAATGGATTTCCACAACGTCATCCGAACTGATTGATACGAGAAGAGTTATTCCAGCTGGCTCTGACCACAATGATGAGCGAAAGCAACTTAAGTATGAATTGACCCAGACTTGTCACACTGATCGGAGTGGAGAGTGGGGAAATCTGGGAGGATAGAGGAAGCATTAGCATTAGTTAATGGTCGGAAACCATTTTTGCTTATTAAGGATACCGGCAAGAAGATATTGGTGAGTAAAATCATCACCGAAGAGGATGGGAAGCTGACAAACTCTCACGAGAGGCGGATGGAACATTGAGGGGAGTAATTTGAAGTCCAACCGAACTGAACCACAGTAACGCTTCAGTCGCCCAGCATCCAGCCTCAAACTGCACAGGACATAGATTTCGTTCCGCCAACAGTCCTCGAAGTTGAGAAGGCTGTTTCAAACCCGAAAGGATGCAAAGAACCTGGACCTGACGGTTCGTCACCTGAGTGTTTAGGGATTGGGGTAGGAAACAGCATATTAGAGTGAAGGGGCTACCAAGTGGTATGTGGAAATTAGAGGTAGTGCTGTCAAACTGGTCTACTGTACTGATCATCTTAGCCTATAAGAAGAGAGAGGTCTTCCTGTGACAATCAGGGAAATTAGTTTGACTAATATTGTATCCAAGATCCTGGGGATTATAGTTATCTGACGCCTAACTGGAGCATGATCATCATCATCATCATCAATATCAATATAGGACCAGGCATTACTGAGTAACGGTCCGAGCTGCCACAGCTCATATCAGTACATCGAGTAGAACGGTAGTGAGGTGACAGATGAAGATAAGAAAACTCAGTCAAAAGAAATATAAAGTAAGAGAAGAAAGGAAGAATGACGAAATGCTGAGAATCGGTAGTTAAGAAGAGGATAATGTGTGTATACATTTGCGCCTAACTGGAGCTTTAGAATAAGAAACACAAGAAAGCCAGGCAAGTTTTAAACCTGGACCAGGGTGCACCGATCAAATTTCCACACTCCGACAGGTTATGGAACAAAGGCATACTTACCGGAGACCGACACTTGCCAGATTCTTTGATCTGAAGGCGGTACTTGGCACTGTCGACTACGAGATGCTATGGCAGCGTGACTGAATGGAGTACCAGGGAATTGTGTAACGCTAAACAAAGGTCTCTACTTTGACCCACGTAGCCGTGTATGGGCCTATGTTGATTTGTCATCTGAAATGACGAAAACTAGTGGCGTCCAGCAGGGATGCCCTCTGTCAACATTCATATTTCATTTCGTTATAAACATACTAATGGGCACAGTCTTAAGTATATCTAATTTCACAAGATTGATCCATTCCGTGGAGGTCATCTGGTTGACTTGGAGTGAGCAGATAATATTATGCTGCTAGGTGAAGACGCTAGAAGAAAGCGGTCTTTAGAACTCTTTGAGAAAACGCAGTATATTTGGCTGGTATGCGCTTCGCGTCTGTCAGATGTGAGATGATGTTTCATGACTGGTCTGTACCCACTCCTAATCTCAGGATAGGGAGTAAATTAGTAGAATTTGCCAACCACTTCACTGACTTGGGAGTTGCATCACCCTACCAAACGCGATCGTTGCTAACGGGATCTCAACTGCGATACAGAAGGCAGATTTGGCGTTGTCGATTGACCAGATATCCAAGTATCTATCAAAGGACGAATTTGCCGCTCTGTAATCTGTTATGTCCTGTTGCACGGCTGAGGTATGGCCGTTAAAAGCAGATATGAAGCGGTTACATGGTCTTGACTACGGGTGTTTTCGCAGCATTGCTCGCGTACGGTGGAAATACCGTGTGAGCAATGCTGAGGTCAGACTAAGAGTACTAGCCAAGACGATCGATTAGGTTGAACTATCATCGACTGAGATTGCTTGGACGTGTACTGTGCACGCTAAGCCACCACCTACCCGAACGTCCAATGCTAAAGAACGTTGGATAAAGTTTAAACAGGGATCAGGGAAGTCCGACCAAGATGTGGCGCCAGTCAGTGGAATCTCTGACTCCTGATCTGAGCCGTGTTGGGAGATGTTAACTACCTGGATGAGGTCTGCACGGTTACAGGAATCAGTGGTTGAGGGCTATTAGTGAAATGGCCGAAATTGGTATATGGCGCAGATGAATTAACTACCTGACATCTTTTAAAATTTTGTGTTCAAACAGTAAGTTAACGGAGGTATCAAGTCTCTTACTGTTGCTTTGAGTCGTATGGGAGATGTGGACTGTCTAGTTGGGGTCACCAAAAAAAAGAAATCGGTGGTTTAGGACTCTGGGTGACATGGATAAAAATCGGTCACAATAGTGCTGATGTATTTACTCCTTGACGTCTTCTGAAGATTGAATATTCGCACTAACTGTTACATTCAGATTGTTTATTCTCTTTTTCGGTCCACCTGTTCTTCGAAAACTACTTTGAAGTGTGGCAACATGAACCAGTGCGAGGTCCTGCGTTGATTTTGTTCGTGTCTGACGCTTCACATGATATTAAGCTTTATGAAGCTGTCCATTGTCAAAGTCCGATCCTTTAACCGTCACAAATAGGCTTGTAGAGATAATTTAGAGGCGACAGGTGATCACTCTAAGGCTGATTTGCATTCATATAACATTGTGGATGGATTAATATCATGGAATCATGTGGATGAAAATCTTTCTCGTACGTATTTTCACTTCAAAAATTAAGACACACTAATATATATGTTTTTTAACATCGTTAACAACTGTATCTACCATTATTTTATCCCTATACTAAAAGTTATAGATACAAAATAGCCTTCTTGTAGACGCGCTTAATACCACATGCGAATTGCTCATAGATGAAAAAATCCCATACTTTCACCATAAATTCAATGATTGTCAAGTTTCTACATAAGAAAACACTGTTAATTTTCGCGAGAGAGACTAGAAGCCATGGCATATCCTGTTTTCTAAGCTTTTAAAAATGATCTACAGCAAAGTAACTTCACCTTTCGGCTTTCTAAAATTTAAAGTGACTGAGGTGGGTATGGAACTTTACAAAAGCAGGGTCTAACGAACTAAGTAACAAATCGCGAAACCGCTCCAGAAGCTGGTGAACCTCTTAAGTACATGCATAAGCAATTACACCTTCATTTTAGGTACGGTTTCGAATGAGACAACCACATGTACAGCACTAAGAATCATTACCTTCATCTAAGCTATTTACTGCGGGTTTTCACGTAACCAGTGTACGTGGAAACACTTTATTTTATCGTCATCTGGTGCAGATACTTTATGCTTTGAGCAAGTCCATGTTCATCCTGACTTAATTTTAACTAAATATCTGCTGTATATTGCCTAGAGATAATCAAAATAAAACATGCTAAATGTCTTAACATATTTGTTAAGAAAAGCAGACTCACATAATATTCAAAACCGTGCGTGTTTAACAAATCCGTACAAAGTTAAGCAATGATAATGTGACTTTAGTAGCACACAGTTCAAAATGACCGCTATATATTCACAGCTTAAACAAATAGTACTACTGAACAGCATTTTCCAGATTTCGGCCGAAATTTACAGAGTGAAAAATGTTTTATATTGACATTTCGTGGCTTAATTCTCTTTATACTTTTTTCTCCTGATAACTTTGTTGTCGCTTTTGCTTCGTGACTAATCTGACCTTGATCCATGCCTACGGGTGCGTATAAATGCATATCATTGAGCCTTTTTAACATTAAGCGTTTCATTACATGATGTTTTCCATCCATTGCCTTCTTTTGTTTGGCATGATTCCATTATATGCCGTTCCTTCAGTTTACTATCCCCACTCGGAACAACAAATGGGAAACTATGAATTCGTTCCTTGTGATGGAAGATCAAATACAAATTGCGATTCAGAACATGATGATCTTTTTTCTCCTGAGGACTTTTGATAGCATCAAAAAGATATTTGTCCAGAGTGGGTGAAAAACGCAAAAAAATCGGACCTGGATTTTACTTTGGTTGAACCCATATTAGAACGTATGTCCAGACATTTAGACCTTTACCAACAATAAAATAAATTTCAATATGATTTTGAATAATGGTCTCAATTCTGATATGCTTTCCAGCTATACGAGATTCGGTAGGAGGTAAATATAAGTTTAGGTTACTCTGTACTTACCCAAACAAGATAAATTCTTTAGTGCTTTACCTTTGATTCTTTGAACTATATCAGTTTTCCTAGATTAATACTTTAGTTATTTGGTGATCGCCTATAATGTCTTCATTCTTCCATACCTATACAGATGTCTAGATTTCTCCATTATTTTATATTATGATTTATAATACGGTAGACGTTAGTGACTAGCTATCTTGCTTTGTTCAGTCATTTGAAAACTGTATGGTAGTTCACTTCAGTAGTTTTTGTTTTATTGTAGAGCATAAGTCCGATCATTCGAAATTTTTCTGATCTCATTTGAGTATTAAGTAAGCCAATGCATGTTGTAATGATCTCAGTGGCACAAACTCAAGTGGATTTATTTTAGACAAGTAGTTACATTGGAATACATTGACAGAAATGAGTAATCTTAAATAAAATTACACTGATTGAGAGATGCAAGCGTTTACGGGTTAAAGAGGATGTCAAAAGTGACTCTAATTTTACACATCTAAGTGACTCTTTTCTGGTAAGTAGGCAAGGAATTTTCATTATTTAACTTGAGATTAATTTACTCTTAATGAAGCTCACTGGAATGATACAAGAAATGTAGGTTTATGGTCAACAGTTTTTGCTACAAATGTTAGAGTATTGGGAATGAAATGATAAGGCAATTAGTTGAATTGAGATTCTACATTTGGTGAATGGTGAGAACTAAATGTAGTATGTTTGCTGAACATGGTATCTTATTATGAGATAGTAGAGAAATGTGGCCTCAATTTTAGGACCTAAAATTGCGTTGGATTTAATTTTCTGTTACCTGGAGAAGTATTCTGAGCACTTAGTACTATCTTTTCATTATTTAGTCTCTTACAAGCTTACTACTATGTGTTTTTAGTCACTGTCATTAGTCTTGAAATAGATTATATTAACAAGCTTTTACATGATATTAAATAATCTGCCTGTATACCATCATATTTAGTTTATAAGTGGGTTAGTTATGGCATCATTTAGATAAGCATGAATCGTAGATCTATAACAGTTATACAAACCAAAAACTTAATTATTGTCTAGTGGTCATTAGTGACTTTCTTTGAGATGGATTGCACGAAGTTCGAGTGATAAGCTGTGAATTACGAGGTCAACCTGTTCGGGTGTGATGTGGTACAGTTTGGAGGTCATGCTAAATTGCAAAGTAATACAAGTAGTAATGGGAACATTTGGTTCCAACAAAGTGTGTGACTTGCAACTTGGCAGTAGACGCAATGATCTAAGAATAAAAGTCAGAAAGGAGCAAACTGAACAAAACAAATCACTGGTTACACTAAGTGGTAGGTGACTGACGGTGATCCTTGTTCCTGGTCGAAATTCTTCTTCCATGGAGAACTGTGGTGTGAATACTAAGATATCATGTCGAATTTGCGGTGAACTGAAGTAGGTCTACCTACTTGCAATCTATCTCGTCAGTGCACGCGTGTAATTTAAAAGGAAAATGAAAATTCTTTAGAGATTCACATCCCTTGTATCCAACACCTCACCATTGAGATGAAATCCAACGGTCCATTAACTCTTACCTCAGTCAATTTATGACATAACTTGACCATCAGCAAAATGTCATCGAGGAATGTCCTTACCCGTACTCAACTAAAGTTGATTGCAAAAGTCTTAGATTAAGAATAGGGCTGCATGAAATCTATCTCAAAACGATTCACTGAAGAGCCTGGGATTTTTATTCGGTTGAGCAGAATTTTTGATTTTATGTTAATGTCATCATGGATACATATTATTAGTAGGAGGAAAAAACTAGGCACCCTTCCAGATTTTCAGCAGTTTCACAGCTGATCTAGATTCATGAATATAGTCAACGAACAATCAAATAATTCCTTATAAACAAATCAGCCAAATGGTATATTTTTTTTCCTTAACAGTATGTACTTTTAACATACTTGTTTATTCTGAGTTCTGACATGTGGCATCGGTCCATAATAAGGAACATGGTAACGTACGATTGTAATACTTTTCATTTTAATACCTTCATTAATGATTCAACACAAAGTGTCATATGTGGTCAAAGGGTTCAAGTTTATCAAACTCAACTCAATAAAATTTTAGCCAATAAGGCTAAAGTGATCCATCTATCTAAACAGCCAATTCTTTTACTGCATACTGATTAAATATTTAGTGAGAATTAAGCAGTAAGATCTTTTAGCACAGTCTGTGAAGAAAAGCAAGGTGTTACTATTTCCTGGATTTTAGTGATTAGACTCTTGAGAAATTATATCAGGGAATACTTTTATTCGTAAATTCTAGTTTTACCAACAATCAGACAAGAAAAGAACACAATAGAGTCAAATGTGCTTGTTTCGTTCTTTCTTGAAACTAATGTTTTGCATATTGTTTCAATTGATAAGTAAATAAGAAAGCAAGATGAATTTTTAAAAAAATGTTGGCCTACAACATTTATGTTGTTGTATGAATCAAAATAGTGAATTTCTAAATTCCTACTAACAACCAAAATCTATGCGTGTAATTAGACTGTCGAAGTTTACGACCAGACACAAAGGTTATTGTATTCGGTATTCAATGATGTGAAAAGTAGCCAAGTGAGATATATGCAGAAACACAAGGTTATTCAGCAAAGAAAAGTCTCTTTTAGACAATATCATAATCAATAGCCGTATAATCTTATTTCTAGTAATGACAAGCAAACGAGTAAGTTTATTCTCGACTGACTGATTAAGAAATACAATTCTTCAGTAGTTTTTGTGTGTCATCACCTTTGAATTCAACATTCATTAATAAAATCTTCCTGTGAACAGTAAGAAGTCGTTTAATTTACTGTTTCCGCCTCATATTTTTCACAATGAACCTTAGGAGATAGCCATTCTGAAGAAGTTATTTCCCAAGGTATTCCATCTCTACTGACTGATTATTATAATTTTTTTTACTTCACAGTTTACTCTCATGATGTCTTATTAAAAGTTCTAGTAATCATTTACTCAGATTATTAATATTACTAATCAGCCTGTTAGCCATCACCATGATCGACTGCATAGTTAATTTCTTCACACATCCTATGATTATGCAGTCTCTTTTAACTCTAGAAACGACTCAACTTCATTCTTGAACGCTCTGTTTTGATGATCTAAAGTTGACCTTTCGACCAGTAATAGACTTATCTGTTTGTTTGTTATTACCTTAATTACAAGCATACAGCTACAGAAAATGATTCGTTGAGAAAAAAATTTCTTCACTGAATTACTGTATATTATATGATCATTTATATTCCTGTGCTTAGTCATTCACTATACGGAAATTATTGCAGCCCTTAGAAAGTTTAGTTTCACTCAGGTACTCTAGCTTGTATTCCACTCAGTACTAGTCACAAACGTTAACCTTGAGATTAGGCTTTTACAAGCTTGAATTATGCCATATCGAACAAAACTGTTGTATACACCGTCTTGCCTGCTTTATTCAATTCGTCTGAACAACAATTCTGATACCCCAGTAACCTGACCACTTGAGCAAAAATGTCAGTATATATATAGATTTTAATCGATTTCCTTATTTTTCTACCCAGTTTTGTAATCATAAATACTGCCTGATTACACCTCAACTTTGATTGAATTATAGTTAGCTTTGAGGGTAACAGACCAATTACTGGACTTTATGAGCCTACGCCAACTGAGTCTGCTTGTTTGTGTGCTATACTTTAACTTGAAATGCTGGTTGCAGCAGAATTGTACTGAAAGGGAATATGTTCATAATTTATATTTGTTGAAGATACAACCTCACTCTTTAGGGTTTACTGTGTACACTTTTGACAATTTATTGCTTCTAATAAGTGACAATCTAATATCTCATTAGCCAAAATTTGACAAAGTTGGCTGAAGTATATGTGTGCTTCATGTAGTTAGAATTTCTGAAGTAACATGAAGTTATGTATTCTTGATGAATACCAATTGGCATGCAAACCATGTTCAGAGTCTTTTAACGGTTAACCGCTGACTTTTAGGACCCGAATACGGTTCACTTCAGTACCATATCAGTTAGCTAAGTTGTTGTATTTCCAGCTACTTGCTAGGCCTTAGTCAGCATTTGAACTTGAGGAACACATCGGATACCATCTGCTGACCAATTCGTGTGGGGATCAACAGGTTTGGCTAACATGAAACAACACAGATTACCATTTACACTCATATTTATTCATCAGCAGGAAAGCAGCTATTGAGACTAGCTTTCAAGTAGTTCTGAAGACTGGTTAAATAACCAGATCAACTATAGCCAGAAATCTTACCATCTGTTCTAATGATGTTACACGAGGAAGAATATTATTAAGTGCACTCCGTGTTAATTAGAATAAGG